TGTAGGTTTTGAATCCTATCCCAACCATGAACTGGTTAAGGTTTGGGGTTTAGGCCCACGCTGTAGGGTTTAGGGCCTACGGCCCGTGGTCCTGGTTCTCCGAAACATGTGGGAGTCTCCAAAATTAGGGGTACCTTATTTTGGGGTCCTTATTAATTTGGATCCTATTATTTAGGGTACTATGTTAGGGTCCCCTATTTTCGGAAACTCCCATGTGGCACTGCACATTACAGCTCGCGCCCTTTTGCCGGCAGGAGTCGCACGGCCCCGCCATCCTGCTTACAGGGTTTAGGGTTTTGGGTTTATGTGTTTAGGTTTAGGGTTTTGGGTTTATGTGTTTAGGTTTAGGGTTTGGGGTTTATGTGTTTAGGTGTAGAGTTTTGGGTTTATGTGTTTAGGTTTAGGGTTTTGGGTTTATGTGTTTAGGTTTAGGGTTTTGGGTTTATGTGTTTGGGTTTAGGGTTCCGGGTTTATGTGTTTAGGTTTAGGGATTAGGGAAGAATTAAGGGTTTTCTCGACTTACGGGTTCGGGGCTTGTGACGCTTGGGCTTGCGCTGATGTTGAATCACGCAGTAGCTAACATAGGGACCTTAATAATTACCTATACTATTTTGGCGAGTCGTTATGATAAATACATACAGTATACTATAACCCAATGCCAAAGCCCTATTCTAATTATTAAGGCCCCTATAGTAACTGAATGTAGACCGTCCTAAGAGTGGGGCCGTGCTCCGAATCCCTAGGAGCCCTGAACTGATCCCAAACCTAGGACCCTGAACCCCACGCCCTGAGTTCCTGAACCCTACGTAACCTCAGAAAATCCCTATATAACCCTATCATGAAACCCTGTATGACCCTTTAGAACCCTACGTATATTAACCCTAACAACCGTTCAAAATGATGAACTCGACCGGCCAGGTCATGTTCCAGCTGGATCCCTCGGACAATGCCTGCCCGGCACACTTCAAGGGACCCCTGAGGTTTAGGCTGAGAGCTGTATAGGATATTTTTTGGGTTTGTGGGGATCTAGTTGGATCTAGGCGATTATTTGGGCCACGTAAACCGCGCAGCCCATGCCGAGAATTGCCACATGAGAATTTGACGTCCCAAGCCCCGAGACTACATCAATCCTACCCCCAACACCCAAGCTAAAGCAGTTGGCGAGAGGGTAGCAGCTCGGGTAGCAGAGTCCTGAATCCTGTGAGTCCGGAACCCACTGTACCACTTAAACGTTTAGCCCTACTACTCTAAAACCTACAGGCTCTAGAAAACCTACAGGCTCTAGAAAACCTACAGGCTCTAGAAAACCTACAGGCTCTCGAAAACCTACAGGCTCTAGAAAACCTACAGCAGTAGGTCTGAAAACCTGCAAATCCGAGGAAAGCCTTAGCCTCCCCCCTCTGGCTCTGTGGGCCAAGTCGCAAGGCCTGGCGCGTGGAGCATGACAACTCGGCGAAGTGGGACCCGAGGCCGGCCTTGGTGTTTAAGGTGCAAGCGTTAGGGTTTGGGGTTTAGGGGCAAGCGCGAGATTGCGGAGGGCTCTGAGGGTTTGCATATCGTGATAACATCAATTCGGGGATATTCGGGGTTTTGGGTTTAGGGGTTTGGGTGCTTCTGCGGTGTGGGGCTTTCGGATCAGAAGAAGGTCACAAAGAGTTCAAATGCATCACCATCCGAGTCACCTTTCCTGAACCGGTTCGACAGGGTTTCATCTTGGGTTCAGTACGCTTTATCAGGGTTGCAAAAGGGCTTTTCTCCAGAGTTTTATCCATAGAGTCCAGTGTCCCGTCCATGGGTCCGTTATGAAAGACTACCAGTGGAGAATTGAACGGTTTCGATTTCTCCGGACATGACAAGACTCCGGGAAGTCTGGCAGCGAGGGTCATCTGGATCTTAGTCGGCTGGTCGACAGGCAGAAATTTCCAGGACGGGATGAGCGACTCTTATGTCCCAAGCCTTTTGATTTCTATAGGTCGTAGGTCGAAAGCTTTAAGAACGCCTATAGAAACCCCTCTTTATGAGACCATACAGCACGCAACAGGGATATCCATCCCAACCCAGCCTCGAAACTCAGGAATCGCGCAAAGACGCGAAGCCCCGAGGCTGCGCGCATGAGTCCCTGTGGGGGTCAGAGTTCGGCCATGTTGGGCACTTTCGCATTGAGGCCTCTACCCAGAGGCCCCAAAGTAGTTCCTTTTTGGGAGTACCTAATAGGATTATGAACCCCAAAAAGGAACGACTTTAGGGCCTCAGGGTATCTGCTACGGGCCAAGAGTGTCTGTCTTGACGATGCTTTGTCTATCTCTGTGGCTGTATACGCGGGTAAATGCTTTCTTTTGGCAGCATTGTCCTTGTTCGGGCGAACTTCAGTGCTTCTGCCCTGCATGCTCTAAGACTGTCATCCGGAAGTTCTTCATCTCAAGAGTTGGCAGCTTTTGGATAAATTGTAAACCGGCCTCTGTGAAGCTTGGCTGCATCCACGTTTGTTTCAGGAAGCAGAGCGAGTTCTTCGGCTGACGGGGAGGCGGCAGCATGGTGATCTGTAAATCATGCTGAACAGGGGCTTGGGGTTGCAAAGCAGTGCAGACTTCAAGATCTATAAGCCTTGAAAGGTAGGAGTTGCGAGAAATGCAGTTGCGCATTGAAGAGCAATCGCAAATCCCACCTGAAGCAGAACTCCTTGCACAGTGAAAACTCGCAAGCGGGTGGCTGGTACTGCTTTGCGGTTCATCAAACGGTAGCGACACCGCCCATGTTCCACATCTTGCCTCCTCGAACATCCCAGTGGAACTCTATCTACTACAACCGGAGGAAGTTTGCCTATGCAATAGCAAGCTTGACGTTGCCTTGAATTCCTGCCGCAATTTGAGATCCACGTCCCCTGCCCAAGCTGTCTTGTGTCCAGGATTCCACGGCCCCTTCGCCTGAGCGATGTCAAGCGTGGCGCCCCACCCCTGAGGCGCTGAAAGTTGCTTTCAGCTTGTGCCAGCTTTGGGGCGGTGCCAATCGGTAAATATTTCTGGCATTATAATCACGTCATCAACAAGAATTATGAATCATAGTGACAAGAATTAATTAGTAACACAGTAGCCAGAGTAGGAACAGTAGTACTATGATGCTTTGGAGCAGCCTGAGCGAGATCTCAGATTCATGCAAGGCCCAGGCGGCCTAAACCTTTGTCCCCAAACAGTGTGTTCATATATATATATATATATATATGTATAGTTATATTTAGATTTATATTTCTATTTATATGTATGTATACATATATATATATATATATATATATATATACATATGTGTCTATATATATATGTACATATACACGTAATCATGTGTGTGTATATATATATATATATATATATATATTAGGTATCTATAGATGTAAAGATTTATCTATGTATACCCTGATCATCCCCGATCCGTTGGGTCTCGCCTTCTCCAGGTCCGAAGCTTGCCCTGCCGGCAGTGGCGCCCTAACCCCTAAACTTACCTTTGGTTAGGGATTTAGTGTTTAGGGTGTCGGAGGGAGTGGAAGAATGCTAGTAATAGTAGTTATAATTGTACCCAGTATTGTACCCCGTTCCTCCATTCCCTACTATCCGAACTATTGAACCAGGAAGACCATCGTCGCCACGGCCAAGGCACGCCGCATGTTGACAGGGCTGGAGATTGGACAGTTTTCGAGTTTAGGGTAAAGGGCGAGTTCTTGCGGCGAAGTGGACTGGGCACTGGGCTTGATGGGCAATCAAGGCCGGAGATCCGCGATCGCGCACCATCTGTCTTCAGTGCTGCTAAAATCAGTTTTGCTTGCTGCTTGTGCCTTATAACCATCCTATAACCTGTGGAATTGCTTCTTCGTAGAGGGGGACGTGTGTGGGCGCGCCTCTCCCTCTCTCTCGGTTTTTGTGTTTTGTATACGTACAGCCTCTTGTGTTTGCGTGATTGATAAGTTGTCGTCAGACAGTATATCTGCAGATGCAGGTAGAAAGCGCAAACTCTAGACCTTAAACCCCTAAACCCCAATACCCTGAACCCTAAACCCCTGCAACCCCTACATAAACCCAACTACCCTAAACCCCCAACCCCTAAATCCTAAACCCTTTTTGGAACCTTGGAACCTAAACCCTCAACCTCTAACCCCCTAAACCCCAAACCCCGAAACCCTAAAGCCTTCTAAACCCCAAGCCCCGACGGAAGTTCCGAGCCTTCGATGCGCTCGCCAGGAGAGGCGCGCCGCCGCCGAGATGTGCGGGATCTACTCCGTGAGCAAGTAGGGGCCTTAATGACTTGAATAGGGTTCCTTTCAACAGGGGACTATAAGGACCACTGTAAGGGTTGTATAAGAATGGATTCTTGTTAAAAGGAATGTAGGGTTTAGGGGTTTAGGGTTGCCAAAAATAAGTTACCATAAACTACGGAACCACATCATTTGCTATAGATACCCATTATGGTGGCCCTGACTGCTTTTGAGCGCAGTAAGGGGGCCTTCATTACTAGAACAGGGTTCCGACGGTAAGGAGCATAGTCTTCCTTAATTTGCACCGAAACCCAATTCTACTCCTTTTCGACACTTTTTCACTTTCACGCCCTGTGCTCTCTTTTTTGGAATTAAGATGAGACCCTAAACCCCAAACTTGGCCCCGAAAGCCCCGTGAGTGGCAGGTTGCAGGCCCGGCTGCTCCTCAACCGGGAAACACATCCAGGCTCGGTCCATGTTTTCAGGCGTATACATATATTATAGACATCCTCAAAGGGAAGACAGGCTCCTTACCCTAAGGCCCTAAAGTAGTTCCTTCTGGGGTTCATATTTTAGAATCCGATTAGGTAATCCCAAAAAGGAACTACTTTGGGGGCCTCTGGGTAAAGAGAAGAAGAAGTATTTAACTTTACATGTTTGACTCGATCTTCCTGAACTGGTGGTGTTTCCGGAGTCCTTTCGGTTGCGCGGGCGCAGACCCTGGAACCAGCCACTGCCAGTTTGGGGCCACGAGCGCATCATGGTCTACGGCAAGATGATTTCCGAATTCATGGTGCCGGATGTCTACGCAAACGATCCCATCGAGGTGCCCAGGAAGGGTGGGTCGACAAGAGGGATAAGAGTATTCGACAGCTTTGGAACGTCAGTAAGGTAGAAGCCAGAAAGTTGGAATATGATTATCCTAACCCCTTTAAGGTAAATTTTAGGGGATCCTGCCATTAATCCATATTCCAACTTTCTGGAGTTCCCTTTAGGACTTGGGACCGGAACAAGAGCGAACATGTTACGTCAGGTTGTACCAGTGTGTGCTTGCTCGGAACACAACAGCAGCAGACCAGATCTCTGTGATTACTGACGAGTTGGAATGTTGCGCGGCGGGATTCTCTGAGTTTGCCTACCGTAGGGGCCTTATTAATGATTACCTATACTATTCTGGGGGTTCCTTATGTTCCTCATTCTCAGTATAGTATAATGGGCGCAAAAACCTTATTCTAATTATTAAGGCCCCTAGATTATCCCCCTTCAAGCCTTTCTCGACGTCTGCGCTGGTCTGTTCCTTCCAGAGCTTCTCCAAGAGGTTCACCGGAAGCCCATGCCTATAAACCCAAATCCCCCATCTCGTTGTCATGCTCAGCCGTATTCCGAAGGGCGCAGAGGCTCCCATACCCCGGACAAAAGAAGGACACGAAGGAGTGTGGGAGTGTTCGGGAGGGCAAGGCAACCACAAAGCCCCCTAAACCCTAAACCGAATGCGCCGAAACGGCCAGATGTCCGTGCCGCTCAAGTTCCGGGCGGCCTTCAGGGAAGATGCGGCCAGAACCCCAGGACTTAGCCTTCGCGCTTTGCCCTTGTATGTGCCGAGTCCGACTCCATCTTGAACAGACTTTGATTGCAGACTCCTAGGTTGAAGATGATACAGGGTGATCGGTCAATGCTTCTTACATGACAGAGTCTGGTTGCATGACGCAATGTATCTTAGAGCATCTTGTCGAGAATCTGCTCCCTTTGTGGTTCTGGTGGTCCTTGCTCGCGCTGTTGCTGACCCTTCCCTTCTCTTGCAAAGGCGGGTGACCATCGAGAATGGGGATAGGGGACCCTAATATAGTACCCCAAATAGTATTATCCTTATTATAAGGCCCCCTAAATAAGGTACCCCTATTTTCGGATTGTTTAGGGTCCAGGGTTTCGGGAGTAGGTAAACCCGTAGAGTCTTATTTGAACCCGTCAAGTCGCTTGTCATGTTTACACAGCCCGGTATGTCTAGAACAGCTAGGAAGAGCTACCACTCCTGAGAAGTGATCCTGAGTCTGAGGCAGACATCTCGACCGCCTGATTGAATGTCAAAGCCTTGTACCGACAGCTTATGACCGTTTTTTTCACGGTCAAAATCCAACGAGGAACTTAAGCAATGATCTGATTCAGGCTCACCCAGAGCAACAGTCGCAATACACGCACGCAGACAGCGTCGCGAGAGTTGGTCGAGCCCAATGAAAGCCATGACACGTTCAGCAGCGCTGGCAGCTGTTTGCTTCGTCCTCGCAGATGCGAAGACACTGGGTCACGGTTGGAGGTTTCTTGAAATTCAGGCTACCTGCATGCGGGTCGTCATCATAAGGATCCTTCTTTGTATTATGGTTACTAGACTGGGGCTGACTGGGGTCCCCAGTTTTCCTGAAGCTGTTAGTTGGCCGTGGAAGGGTGGAAGGTGTAGAGCGCTTGGTTGACTGGCCGCGCGGAGCGTGAAGGATTTTTCGGATTTAAGGTGCAGCTCCCGCCATCTCTCTTAGCATCGTTTTACGTTTGGGTTTGTTGACATTAATGCCTATGTAATGGCTTTAATCCTCTTACATGTTTCCCTCTTACTAGTAGTCATTTGTCTTATTGTTAGATTGTACGTTCAAAGTATTACACCATTATGATAATGCAGTCATAAAGATATCATGATGTATTCTGAACTATCCATGCGCTGATCACGCAAGGTTAAGGGTAGTGGATTAGTACTAATGTACTAATGTTATTATGGTTGCTGGTACTGCAATGGTTATTTCGAGTATTATTTCCAAGAATTATTGGTATTATTGTGATGATTATTGTTGTTGTTGTTGAAATTGTTATTAAAGTTTAGGGCTGTTCCGGGTTTCAGGTTTAGGGTTCAGGGGCATCTTCGGCTCGTCTAATTCTGAGGACTTGGAAGCCGAGGGTTCTTTCCGAGCCAGGACCCTCCTTGTACCCTCAAATAGGGGTATGTGGTCCCAAATAAGGGGCATTGAACTCTCTTTGTGCGAAGACCTCGGTTTGCCGAACACAAGCCCTAAATCGATAATATGGGAGTTTCCGAAAATTAGGGGGTACCTCATTTTTGGGGTCCTTGTAATAAGGATCCTACTATTTAGGGGTCCCTTATTTTCAGAAAATCCCATATACCCTCCGTAATGAATCCTCAATTCATGTTTTAAAAAGGATTCGAGATCGCCCTGATCCTTGGATTCAAGGAGTCGCAACTCCTTGGTCTCTGTGCAGCTCTTCGGGGAGTCCGGCTGCCCAGACACCACAGCCTTCATTGCAGGGCCGCTTGCGGATGCCGAGAAGGTCGGGACCCCAGGGCAGCTGAAAAGATCAGTTCCGCATGCATGTTACGTGCACAAAGTGCATGCATGTCACGATGTCAGCATCCTTCCGTCTTCTCAGACCATTCAGATTTGTTCAGATGTCTTGTTTTGTAGATTTGTCCCCCTGACGCTGGTACAGCCGCACGACTCGTGGTTCGGGCTCAAGATCTTGTTCAACATGGTTTCGATGAGACAACACGCGTCACAGCTGTGGAGCTTCGAGCTTCTAGCCATGTCACTAGGCGTGCACTGCCAGGCTCCTGGCGTCGCAGACATCATGCGCAACATGACTGCAAGACACTATATGCGAGGTTCTCGGTTTGAGGAGTGCTGGATTTTGGGCAATGATCCGTTCAATTCGGGGCTTTAATTTTAGTATATCTATATCTATATATATATATATATATACAGATATACTCGTTCCCCTGTCTCTGGAAGAGCGAAAAGTGTGCCTTTCGGAGCACCTCCGAACTGTTTCACGGCCTTGTCCGAGGATCACTGCTACCCTAAACCGTAAACCCCAAAGCCTCAACATCCTGGCTTCAGGGTGATACTGGGTTATAGGGTGCTTCCTTGGAGTTGGTCCTTGGTGGCGCTGTCGTTGTGTTGAAGACTGACCGCACTGCAATCGATATTTAGGTCGCTGGCCTCAGTCTTCAAACTGGCTCCACCGGTGTGGCATTCCGACTAGGAGGAAAAGAGCTCTCAGCAGAAAAATGACATCTTTACCCTGAATCCAACCCAGTCATCGCTGAAGGATTGGATTGGACACCCTTCGGCAACGCCTACTTCCTCACGGCCGAGTGCGGAGGAGTGCCGGCACCGGCAGGACCGCCGGCATTATTGGTTCGGACATTTTGCAGAGCTTGGGCTGTAATTAGGGTGCAGCGTGAGGAGACTGCAGGTTCAGTCGGTGAGACTGAGATTGCATACATATATATATATATATATATATATGGCTAGCTGCTAAATGAAATCGATCAGACTGTAGTGGCATCTAATGGCTAGCTGCTACGACCTTCGGGCGCAAGCAGCAACAAACGACGTGAAGGTGGTGAGTGCCGGGGAGTCGGAGGGGACGAGGGGATCAAAGCGTACAGCAGCAAAAGTCAGCAGCAACAGTCCTGAGTTTACCAGGAACCCTTTTGCCATCGATCTCTGTTTACATAGGCCGATCGACATGATACAGGGACCTTCATCATCAGTATAGGGTTAGGGGGTATGCTATACTATAACTATAATATGGAGCGCCCGAAACCCTATTCTAATTATTAAGGCCCGTACATCGTCGTCCCAAGGCACCTGTCCAACACTTAAAAGCCATTCAGCTTATGCCTTATGCCCCCTCAGCCTTGCGTGGAGAGGATGTGGCAGCTCTACTTCTTGCTTGTACAATGCCACGGTCAGGGAGTGCTTCCTTGCCCATTGTGGTCTTGGAGGTGCTTTTGCTCTTGTCCTGTACTCGCGTTGCTACTGTGGCATTTCCGAGTTGCTACCGGTGCCGCTGCTGCTACGGCGACGGCGACTAATAGCACTTCTTCTTTGACGGCTACTGGTACTAATTCTGCCTTTCTGCCAGAAAACATGTTGACTGAAGATCTGCATCGATGTGCTGAGCATTTGGCACATCGGTTTCTTCAAGTTGGCTGCCGCCGGCCTCCTTTTTGCTTGTGTTGTTTTCTCGACTTGCTTGCATGTGGGGAACTGTCCTCCGTAGTTTGCGGAGGAAAACCGCAGATCGTCGTGTCATTGACCACTACTTGTAGGAGACGTGGTGCCTTTGTCTCAAGAGCCTTAAAAGTTGAATCCTTCCGAGGCTAGAGCATCAGGACACCTCCAGACAGGATGTACTGGTACACGCACGACGGTCAGAGATGGGGGGGGGGGTAAGGCCAGGGAACAGACATACACTCCGACAGCCGCAACAGCGACAGTAAAGTGGTTCTTGTGATGTCACTTCCAAGGCGACAGGCCGCGCTGGCAGATCCGAAGTTTCCCTTCAGAGAATCAACGTCGTTAGGAGTCTCTTCCCGGCAGAGCTATCACTATACCAAAGAATCACCGTCCCCCAACCCCTAGACCCTTCAGACCACAACCCTCATTCCCTCCACCCTGCCCTCCCCCGAACAAAAAAAAACGTACAGCGCAGGGCAGCCCTTTGCGGACTGCTACTCACCGGGTCATGTGCGCTGTCAGCATGGCAGCGTCGAGTGCGTGGCCAACCAGCTCGAGGCTTCACAGGGCTTGCGATGACGGGTACATAGGTGCGTTCGGGAGTCAATGCGTTGTTGCTGTGGCTTATGGTGTTTGGAGTTTAGACTTGAGCCGAGAGAGCCAGATGAACGTTGCAGGTGCCTTTGAAGCTATCTTAAAGTTTTGAAGGAAGCCTTCATGATTTTCATGCTCAAAGGTATGTTTCCAATTTTCGCATCATACCTAGACCCTCCATCTACCCTCTATTGGACCCTAAACGCCGACTATTTGGGACCATATACCCCTTTTCGAGGGTAAGAGGAGGGTCCTGATAAGCATTTGCATTCTGGTTTGTCAGCTGCAGCGAGAAGAGTGATATCGTCGGGCCGTGACCCGAACCAGGGAACACTCCTTCAACCAATTGCCAATACCGAAGCCCAAGAAAGACTGGACCAGAGTCACAAGGTGCTCTATGAAACCAGGGCTAGGTTCTTATGCGGCAATATGCCATAATGCCACATGTAATGCCCTATTCTCGTTGTTGTGGCCCATATCTTATTCAGTAGCTTTCATTCCCACCCGCAAGAGGCCTGTGCGAAGATGAAGGATGCGGAAAGCTCCCTGGCAGAAGCCCTGATAAGCCCGAGCTGCTGAACCCCTAAACCCTGCGTTTTGCGAAAATTCTGCGACGCAGCCGGGAGGAAGTAAGCCACAAGAGCAGAGGCTCCTGAACCTGGAGGGCCCTGTAGAGTCTTGCTTCTTCAGATTATAGTAGAGGCCAGAAAGTTGGAACATCAGTATCCTCATGGCCTTAAGGTAAAGTATACAGGATCCTAGCACTAACCCACCTAAAGCCATGTTCCAACTTTCTGGTTTTTGCTATATGTAAGTTTGGTCAGAATGCATGTTGCATATGCTTCTGGTCCAGGACTCTCCTCAGATGGAGAATTTTGCAAGATGCTCGGGCTCAAAACTGCCTCTGTATGAACCGTTTCGTCATCAGTAGGAGGGATGAGTCTGAAGAGTGTGCGAGATTGGATTGTCGAGATTGAACGTGCAATATCGATGAACGTGCGGCGCTGACAGCGTAGTCCATGTTTAAATCCCTGAATCACCCAACTCTTGCAAGAAAACCCTAAACCCTAAACCCCGGAAGTTTGCTCCACCAACCCCGGAGTTCGTATGTCCTGCCGGCACAACACGGAGCGCTTCGCCAAATGATCACAGCTGCCACACTCGTAAAGCCAAGTGGTTGAACGTGGACCGGAACAAAGGGCAGGGTAGTGCTGTGGCCGGGGGGTTTCGGTAAGGGGCAACGGCGGCAAGAATGACCCGTACAGTCTCAAGAGTAGTGACAACCACGGTTACTATTGAGGTTCGGGCCATAACTGTCGCTGATCCCAGGATACTGGCCCATCTCAAGGTGCATAGAGACTGCCTTCTTCACTGGAAAGCTGCGCACGGGCACCTCCGGCCCTCAAGAGGTCCATGATGTGCCTCGGTTTGAAGGCTCAGGGCTTGGGTTCGTCTGGGTGAATTAGATTTCTGTTCAGGGTTGTGGGTTCGGTGTAAGCTTTGATCTTGGGGTTCAGAGTTGTTGAGAGGGTTGTGCAGTCGTTCTAGATAGTTCCTTCAGCCCGGTTCCTGCAAACGGCATCAGGCAGAATGCAAGAAAACTAAGTGATGATGGGTACGACGCGGGTGCTGCTGCTGATGTTGGTGATGATTTTGATTGTTTGGCTGATGAGGTATTGATGCTGACGATGACCGACGACGACAATCATCACGCTGTTGCTGATGGAGATGACGATGACGACGAGGATGCAGTGATCAGACTGACCGGTGCCATCAATATCATCGCCGTGGCCATTATCTCTCATTACTTCTTGGCATGGCCGCCATCTTTGTGGACTTTCTCTGCACCATGGGCATTGCCTGATTAGGGTCGTGATCATCGCTATCACTACCATGGCCTTGGCCAATTTGAGCGCCAAAACGTTATTCTGTGAGTCATCACTAAGCCCCTATAAACCTTAAACCCCTACACCCTAAACCCCCGAAACAAGACCCTCAAAACCCAATCCCTTAAGCCCTTACGCCCGAGACTTTCCTTGAGGTCGCTGCGAGCTGCGGCCTAGCGGCTGAGACCTTCGACTTCTGTGCCTCGCAGGGCCACGAGGCCGTCGTTGCCATGGCAAAGTCCACGCCTCCTCATCCAGGCCGGGTGAGCTGATATCTTTGGGCCCTAGAAATCAGGGATCTGTGTAAGGGTTCCTTTAAGGGATCAACTACATAAGGGTTCCTATACGGGATCGATTAGAGTCGGTTTTGGGGTGGTAGGAGAACTATAACAAGGAACCTCAAAACAGCAATCGGTATAGGGGCATTGATAATTAGAGCAGGGTTTTGGGGTGATGGGATTACTTTAACAAGGAACCTCAACACAGCAATCAGTCATGAATTAGGCCCGTATATTACAGTACGTTAAGTAGCTCTAGTGTGCTTTATGACCTTCATATATATATATATATATATATACGTTTATACTGACAGTGTCCTTATGTTTTTTTTTATTGTGTGTGTGTGTGTGTGTGTGTGGGTGCGCATGTGTGTGTGTGTGTGTTTGTGTGGGTGGTGGTGGTTGAAGTACATATGGTGTTTGTTACAGCTCGTTATGCGTTGTTTCTGCTTGTGTTGCTGTTGCTAGTGCTGCGGTCATCACCGCTAGTCATACGCTTGTGATTCGTAGCCAGGTTGTTTGCACCGTGCTCATATTGCAGCCGCTTCTTATAGTTATGAAAACCATCAGTCATACTGTCTGTTGGGGCTCCCTATTGTTATTGAATCTGTAAGCCTGGCACAGTAGCAGTAACGTTGCATGGATAGCATTTGGTTCTGTGTCTGTTGCATCTCACAGTTTGCCTGTCGTTCCATCTCGACTTGTTCCTCCGTTCATATGTCTGGTTTGTGCCTTTGTCTTTCTCCTGTCGTTTTGTTCGCTCTCTGGCTCTTTCTCTTTATTTATGTTTTTCTTGTTATCTATTTCTTTCTGTATGTCTTGTTTTCTTTATTTCTTTCTGTCTTGCTCTTCCCCGCTCTGTTTCACCATCCTCTTTCTGCAGCACCTCTTCCATGGTCAATGCGTCCATGCCGACATGTACATAAACAGCACAATGAGATAGCAAAACAGTTATGACATCCGAAATCAGGCCTTTTGCTGCCAATCGTCGTTGGCTTCGGTAGATTTTGATGGCATGCTGCCCCATCACCCGGCAGAAGCATCATGATCTTAAAGCAGGTGTTCCGTACGTGTTGGTGAACGGCGTGGTTCTGTCAGAGACGAAAGACTTGCTCAAGACAATCTGCGAGGCTTATGAAGGAGACACCTGTGCGATGTGTGGTGCTTTGTGCTCTCTTCTTGCACTGTCAGCCATGTCAACCACAGGCTCCGGCAGAAGTAGCAGCGAAGCGAGAGTTATTGAAGCTAGCTGATGTCCCACACCTAGACTCCGGAACTGAAACTGACCAGGAGAGAAGCCCGCTGGCTGTCTGAGCACAGAACCGGTGCATGCGTAGCAGACTCTGGCCGTTGTGCGTGGGATTAAACCGCAGAGGTATTCAGAATGGCCGGAATTCGATCTATCTTCATTTTGGCCCCTGATTTGTCATAGAACCGTGAGGTTATGCCAGCTTGCTACACCCCAGCCTCGCCGGCCCATGAATTAGCAGTTGCATCTGCAGTCAGGGCGTCTTTTGCTGCCAATTCCGCGGCTGTACGACTGTCGCCGCTAGGTCAACGAGTCTTGATCTATTGCGCGGCACCGTAGCAGATATGATGATGTTCCTAATGGTAGTCACGCGAGTAATCATAAGATAAACAAGAGCAACAGCAATACAATAATTGGATGCTGCGTTTCATGCTAACATTATGTGATCACTGGGTTGAGACTGACAGTAGTAGTAATACCCATTGTACAGTTTCCATACCTACCGTAACTGTAGCGATAGACCCGATTCAAGCTTAGCAACCAGACTTTGACCCCAAATCCCAAGCCCCGGACGCAGAGAGCACTGCACAGTTGCACAGCATCTCCGAAACCCGGTTTCAGAGCTCAGTGCGGTGCCCGAAAGGCTTCTTACAGGGGCTTCTAGGACGGGGACTGTAAGGGTTACCATGAGGGTTTTTCTTATGCCGCGGCTTTGTGCTGTCGCGTCCTACGGCTTCGGGTCGAGCAGCTATAGTATTATAGGGTGCACGGTTTTAGCATGAGATTCCTGTTTGGGGGTGCGCGGCTTTTGGAAACACATGCAACACGGCCGATGCCTTGCCCCGGCACTTCGACACCTCTGCCTTGAACCCGCAACCTCAAATGACGCTTGAGGAATTTGACCAGGGCGGTTGCAGTTCGCATAGAACTTGACGCAAACGTACTGTAACTTAGTAGCCGGTGGATTACGCCGAAGAGTCTTAGAGATTTCGACATGATGCTTTCGGGTTCAGAGTTTGGCAGAGGGCTGAAGGATTTGAGTTTAAGGTTCGAGGCAAGTTGAATTTAACATGTGTGAGCAATCGAAATGCAGCACCGACAGTCCAAACTTGAGTTTAATTCCGGATCCTGCTCAGCTCAAGGTTAGAAGCCTTCATTGAATCATGCACGCTAAGTCGCCTGGCCAAATCGTCGAGATGTGACCTGTGCGCCATGGATCGCACCAACTGACACCCTTGAAAGAAGCGAAGCCCTTCTTCACGAATTTCGATCGTGTTTGGGTGTGGTTCTTTTCACCCACCGACGCATCAGGCTGAACCTGCACAGCTGTACATTTGTTTCAGTGGTCTGAAAGGTCCCGCCAGGAACTGTAACTGCTCAAGACCGTTTCGGAGCGACCTTTGTGCACTCGCGCTCCTGGAGCTCTTTCTATACCAATATGTGGATTCAGGAGTTCCATGACGTAGACACGGCTGGCTTCTTGCGTAACCACAGCTGATAGCCCTGCTCGCACAGCATGCAGGCTTGACAAGAACAGCACGTGCATCAAGTGCGGAGATCTGCGCCACATGTGTCGGCACTGCAATGCAGGCACGATGATGCTGCTCGGATACTCATAGAAGCCAACGCCATGGCTCAGTGCCCATCTGTAACCGGCAGATTGCATCTTGCATATTCTTCTGGCCCATTGCTCTCCTCAACTGGTCTTCTCCGCAAGATGCTCGGGCTCAAAATTGGCCCGGCATGAACCGCGGGGTGCGTTTCGCCACCACGGCGGATGAACCGGAAGATCCCCATGTGAACCGAGATGAGCTGTTTCACATAGTCAGAGACGGCGAGTATGTTGATGCCAAGAAGGCCCTAGCGCAGGCAGATATGGCTTGGCGGCATACAGGTCTGCAACAGCATGCCTGTTCTTGATTGCAGCACGGCGCCGCCGGGGATCCGAATTCTTAGCAAGACGTTGCATCGAATCGAGATGGGAGTCAATCTTGAGGAAGTTGATCTGCATTAGGAGACGCCTGTGTTTTGGGCTGCAACGCGGCAATATGGTCATCGTGAAGTTCCTGCTTAATTTGGGCTTTGAGGTGAACTTTCGCGATAAGGCCACCAAGTTTGTTCGATACTGTCCAACTGGATGTGGCCTACTTCCTTATTCAATAAGAATGTCGACCACGTCCAGGTGGCCTTTCTCGATAGCGAAGAAAAAGAGGAGTTTTTACTGGCACAATCTCGAAAGTTGACTTCGAAGCCACCTGGACGTGGCCGACTACCTAATCAAGCGTTCTGCCTCCATTGGGATTCGGTCCTCCGACAACAAGACGCCACAGTCGGTGCTAAAGGCATTGAATCGCAAGACCCCCACAGCTTTGGAGGAGTTACTGACCCGAGGTCTTTCTGCTGCGTCCAGTCACCTTCTGAATCCAAGCACTCGCAGCTCATTGGGCAAGCATGGACGAGCTTTTTTGCAAGGCATCCACTGATCAGAATCATGTTCAATCTTGGGGACTGCCCGCCATCGATCCGGACAAACACTTCTCTGCCGCGCCTATGCTGCGATGGCTATCGCTCAAGTCATCCATGCAGTGTCCTTGCATATAGACCTCGCAGATCTCCGCAATGCGCTTTCTTGACGTCTACACTGCAAGCTTGAAAACTAGCCCGGTCGTGTCATCAACATGGTAAGATATGGTAAGTGAATGGGTGAGTCCGCAGTTTTGAATGATATGCGAGTGGCATTAGCGCAAAACTCCTCAACACCTGCCACATTTCATTACCCCAACACATGTCTCTCACTGTCTGCCAGCAATTAAGGCATCCGAGTGGCTCTGAGAGTTGCCTTCGCTTGGGTTTTCCGGGGGCTGAACTTTGCGACTCTAAGGTTTCAGGAGGGCCGGGAGGGTTCGTGGGGAGGCGTATGGCTCGGGTCTAGTACACCTCAAAGCCCTATTCTAATTATTAACGCCCCTATATGAGAAAGGGCCGTGCGGCCTTTTGGCTCCCAAGGATCCGTACCACCCAACCGGCGAAGCGGCCTGGAACAAAGAGCTTGAAAGGCCTCGGCTTAGGGTTTAGGGGTTTAGGCTGTCTTCGGATGCCTTCCGATTCGGTACCGACAGCAAAATATCGCAGCTTCTCCTGTGCATCTATCGGCAAGAGGAGTGTAGGGCATCATGTGTTATCGGCTGCCAGTATAAACCGTAAACCCTAACAGCGTCAGTGATCAGGGGTTCGCCTGGTGTTGACACTGTCAGGAGGGGCCTCAAATCGGAAATTCGTGAAGGCAAAGTCTTCGAGGAGTTGTTGAGGAGCGCGTGGCATGATGTCACGTTATGCTTCACGTTGCAAAAAGCACCGCGGTGGAGTGTACCCATAGGCCCCTTAGTAGTTCTTTTTGGGGATTCGTATTTCGAGTTCTATAAGGAATCCCAAAAAGGAACTACTATGGGGCCTATGGGTAGAGTCTTGCGCAGCTTCATGTCTAGTTTAGTCGAAGTCTCGACAGAACCCTGAATCCTAAACTCGAACCATCTGCTCCCATCTGCAGGAGCCAGGGCGATGCCAAGATGGATGCCCCGAGCTCGGGATTGGGCTCTCGGAGCATCCCCCAAGAACACGAAGAAGCCTGAGAGGTCATTAATGATATTCCTGGTTTGTCGTGACTGATATTATTTTTGACTCCTTACTAGTATTGTTTGTTGGGGCTCGTCATTGCCATGTCATATTTATGCAATTGTACACCAAACCCCATCCTAAGTATGCAGTTTGTTGAACGAGGGCAAGCCATAGGGAGATTGAGTCGCAGCGTGTGCCCGCACAAATAGACGGATAGATAGTTGTTAATGTTTTCAAAGGTGCACATGTACCTGTTGAGTGTTTCTTGTTGGTAAGTTCCGTTCTTTGGTCGTCTGTGTCTCTATTCACACGTTCGTGTCTGCACTCACAACACACGCACACAGACACACAAACAAATGCACGCACACACGTACACACACACACACACACACCCAGAGTCAGAGGTTGCTTGGTCAACTAGAGAGGTGCAAAACCAAAGCGGGCAGTGCGTACACGTGGGCTAGATCAGGAACCTCCGGAGCAGGGTCGGACCACACCAAAACACTGCTACATGTAGATGTGAGCTGCAGCACAGTCGTCTGTAAGGCAGCACGCTTGCTTTATCTGCCGTGCATTATATACTTTTTCGTCTCAGCTTGAAGTCACCCCTCGGCGTTTTGAACATGCCTGTTGATAGTTCGTATTTGCTCTGGCTTCGCTAAGGTGGCTGAGAACATGTTCACGGAGGCTAGGGAAGCTCTGTGTGATTCGGAAGCATGCGCCGAATCAAATAGCCAACATCGCACAGTCTTTCGCCACATAGGCGATCCTGGACAACGTCGTGGATTTGGGTGAGCTAGTGCTGCAGTTCTACGCCCTTTATGTTGACAGGCGCTCCGTTCGCTTTGTGCATACTTGCATGGGGCGTTCCCAGGTATTGCGGCAGCGTAATACAAGATGCAGGTTTTGCTGCATGACCCATCCTTGTGATCACACTCAGCTGTCCTTGGCAGCCTCTGGAGGCAGCCGGTCAATGCTGACACTGACAACTCCAAGGTACCGAGGCAGGATGTGGGCAACTTTGAGACACCGTAGGACAAGACTCAGAGCCTCCAATAGCACAACCCTGCCCGTGCTGCTTTGCATAATTGCAGTTTGAATGCATATTCAGGTACCTGCTTTAATACAACTCATACGACGGATATCGACGGACTCTGAGAGTAATGATTGTTCGGGACAGTGCCGAGACCCAAATCCGCACAAAACCCCGAACCAACAATCCAGAGCCCTGTGATACCTAAACCCTAAACCCTAAGCCCTAAGCCCTAAACCCTAAGCCCTAAACCCTAAACCCTAAAACATACCGGCCCTCTTTGCAGGAGACTGAGGAAGCGCATGAACAAGGAGAATTGGCAGCTCAGTTCTTGCTGCTAAAGGGAACTCCAGAAAGTTGGAATATGCTTTCAGGGTAGGATACCTTCTAATTTACCGTAAATGGTTTAGGATAATCATATTCCAACTTTCTGGCTTTTACTATAATGTAGGCGACGAAACAATGAGCGATGCTATTCCGAATCTCTGATAGTCCTGTCTAGTTAAACTGGTCCTTCTATTCCTGCATACCATTAGTGTTTTCCGTACTTCGGATTGCTGACTGTTAGTTCGCGTTTTTGCTCTGGCTACGATTGTCAGTGATCGTGACTGGCATTGTAGTTATTGCCTTTTCTCACATCCATGAATGTAGAAAATTGCAGCTATATTGCAGGAATTGCGGTAGCTGTTGGCGTGGCTATTTCGGCTTCAACCAGCACTGCCATTATGGGAGTTTCCGGAAAAGGGGGACCCTAATCTAGTACCCTAAATAGTAGGATCCTTATTATAAGGACACCCAAATAAGGTACCCCTATTTTCGGAAACCCCCTTATGGTGCATGGATAGTCCGTGAACGGACTGTGGGTCCGAGGATATACCAGGTGCTACGAGCAGGAACCAAGAGACTGTCTTGTCGGTTTTTCAGGCGATCGTGAACGCCTGAAGAATTATACCAGTATTATTGTTTGGGAGTTTAGGGTGCCTTTTATATACGTATACAAACCTACTCTAATCATTAAGGCCCCTAGACTGACTGACTCGCAAGCCAGGCTGGTCATCTCGTCTTGTTTGCCAGTCCCAGGCCCCCCAGACTTGAAACTGCAAGACCTTCAGTACACGACGCGCTTGCCTCGTGAGGATTACGGCTTGGATGCCTCCTTCGACATGAAGGACTGGGGGTTTAGGGTTTAGAGGTGGTGTCAGCAAGAGTCACATGTTGAAGGTTGGAATGTTGAGACCTCATGAGCAAGATCCCGCCTAAACTGTTGTTCCTAAGTCTGATACGTCCATCCGAAACCCCAAATCCTCAGTTTCCTCCACCCCGAAAGCCAAAAACGCCTAGCCCCTGAACGCCCTAAACCCTTAAACCCTTAAACCCTAAACCCTAAACCCTAAACCTCCTATCTCCCACGTGAGGATGAGCTCATTGCCTCGAAGGACAAACCCAGTGCGCAGGCCCCTGGTCAAGTTTCCGAGGGTTCCGGGTTGTGTTTAGCGTTAGGGCTCATTTTACATCAGCTTTACCATATATGGGTTCAGGGCTTAGGGTTTTCTACAGGGTTTATGGTTTGAGGCTTGCTGTAGGGTCGGAAGAATCACTGTTACGATTCCTTAGGGTTTCTCATAACTGTCCCTGGAGTGTTGTACCTGTTTTGGGGAATGCGCAAATTTACGTTGATAGTTCAGATCCTATATATGAAAAGAAGCTAAGCAACCAAAACAAGGTACAACATTGTCGGTTCATGGGATTGCGGTTCAGGCTTGAGGTTGGAGTCTAGGGCCTGGTTTTCGTGTCTTGGGGCTGTGGGTTTCAGGCCTGCCGTTTTGATGGTTTCAGGGTTGTCAGACGGTTGAGGACGTTTCGGCCTCATGTAGACGGTCTGGGACTCTTCCGCTCCAAGAACTGACATTGGGGCTTGGAGTTGAGAGGACTCTCCAAGAAACCCCTTGAAGCCCTTTCGCACTCCTTGTACGAACCCAACACAGACCTCGCTGTAGCCGGGCAGGCCGTCCAGGACTTTGCCGGCAGCCTCAGCGCGATGCAAACGCAACGCCCTCGGCTTGAAGCCCCGTGGCATACAACGACAGTCTCTGCTTCTGCGACATGACCCCATGCTCCTACTTCTGGGAGGGAGGATAATGATAACGATACTGGCCAAGTGAGGCTGCTGGACTTGGTAATAGATTAAAGCCACCCGTAATAGTAAGTTTTTTCAGCGTGTGCCGCTTCCGGCAGATGGCGTGTTGCATATTCTTCTGACTCATGACTCTCCTCAAAGGGTCTTCTTTGCAAGATGCTCGGCTCAAAATTGGCCCGGCATTAACCAACAGCTGCGTTTCGCCACCATGGAAAAAGAATCCTATGTTGAGCGTAACCGACTCTTCGAGATTGTCCGAGATGGGAGCTACGCAGAAGCCAAGAAGGTCTTATCACAAGCGGACATGTCGTGGCGGCATACGGCCCTTCGGCAAAATTTTCTTTTTTTCATTGCGGCACGGCGCCGACGAGGCTCCGAGCTGCTGGCCAAGCAATGCGTTGCCATGGGTGTGAATTTAGAGGAAGTAGATGTATATGGGCAGACCCCGCTGTTCTGGGCTGCATCACGAGGCAACATGGCAGTTGTAGACTTTCTCCTTCGGCTTGGCTTTGAAGTCAACTATCGTGACTACGCGCGGAAGACTGCCCTTTTCTTTGCGATCGAAAAGAACCTTAGACAAAGAACCGGGGAGCTTTAAACTTTTTGGCCTTATATATTAGCTCTATTCTAGAAAGATTGAACATTTTGGGGCCCGGTTGTTGAAGAAGAGAGGAAGCACTTTGATGTCGCCGACTTCCTTATCGAACGTGCTGCATCTATCATGGTGCGGTCGAAGGAGCAGATCACACCGCAGTCGATGCTAAAAGCGGTGAATCACAAAGCTCCCCAGAGAAAGAGAAAGTGGGCATCGCCAACACCGAGTTGCGTATGCCCTGGCGCTGCAACTCGCAGCCGTTTCGCCAGATGGGAATCGGCCCAAGAGGAGCCGGAGCCCCTCATTGAACGAAGAGAGGACAACGTGGTGCTGGAGAACCACCAGTATCTCAGTAGACAAGTTACTGTGGACATCAAATTTCAACCGGCTTGCAAACCGCCTCGGCCATGTCCCAGCAGAATTTGAGACTAGCATACACCAGTTATCGGAGACATCCTATGACTCGACTAGAACAAGCACTAGGACAACGAGAACAAATAACAAGAGCACCACCAACAACAACAACAACAACAACACGCCAGCAGAAGTAGCAACAACAGGAATAACCACAACAGCAACGACAACAACCACAACAACAGCACCACCGCCAACAACAAGACCAGCAACAATAACAATAACAACACCAAACCCGCCACCCACCACCTACCATCCACCATCACCACCACAACCATCACCACCAGCAGCACCACCACCATGTGACAACAACTACAACAACAGCAGCAACAGCAACCACAACATCACCGGCAACAACAACAACACCAGCAGATCGACAGAAGTGGGCGGACAACATGCTTGTGCAAAACACACAGTATCTCAGTAAACAACTTAGTATGGACGTCAGTTTCCAAACGGGGGCACATACCATGGTGTATTGTGCGTGCAGGTTTCTAAATTCAAGCCCCCCGGACTGCAAGCTTTCTTTGTTGACATATTCTTGGTTTCTCTGGGTCCTCAGCAAAGCAACTGCGGTTTCATTTTTGCGAGCGATTTGGGAACGTGAGTTACAATTTCGCTTGATCTTTGAGCCGCACAGCCAAGGTACTTCGTATGCTCGACTGTTACAGGCTGCGCGAAGCGGCTGCGGTGCTCAGAACTGGAATTCGCAGCAGACCATGCGCATCTGCACCAGGACACGACGTGGTACGGCACTTTGACCACAGAGCAAGCGGAGGCGTTCGTCAACGTCAACACAGAAGACGAAGACATCCGTCTTAAGGTCATTGAAGAGATGGCGACCGGAGGTCGCCCGTCCGCCTTCACACTACCAGCAGTCTCACAGCAGACCCACACAGTGGCGGGATATGTGCACGCATCTTTCGCAGACCAGACTCTGGTCATTAAGCATGCCAAAGTCGACCGCCCCCATCAAGGTCGCGGCTTGGGCGGTCTGCTGATCCAAGCGGCCGAGAAGCACGCTCAAAAGCTGGGAGCGGGCATTGCAACAGTGAAGCTTTCAGTGCTGGAGACCAACGAGCCGGCCAGAAAGTGTTATGCCAAGTCGGGCTTCCAATGTTGCGGCGAGTCTCCATCCATCTTTCCGCCGTGCAACTGTCCTGAGGACAGCTGCCATTGTGCCAATAAGATCAAGTGGCTGAGCATGGAGAAGCGCGTCGCCTGAAAGCGCGAACTGCAAAACATGCTGTTTACTCCTGTGGCCAAGGGCGGTCCCAGGTGAGGCTTGGGTTGGGCGCTTATGGGGTTCCAGTGTGAGGGCTCTGGGTTCGGGCTTCCGGGTTCTGTGATTACAACTTTTTCGAGCTTCGAGAGGCGTAGGGTGTCCGTTGATGTTGGTTCCACACTGCCTTCATTCCCCAGACGCTTCTAAGTGTTGGGACCAAGTACGGCGGCCGAGAGGCCCGCCTGTGGCCAGAAAGTCGAGATGTGATCAGAGAGAAGTTGTCATCAGGTTTCCGATATTGACAATAATGACGGGAATGGAAAAGAATCAGAATAATGACATTGTTGATCTCCATGTGATGAGTTGGGGGCCTTGAGCAAACTTGGGAGCTGTAAGGATAGCAGCGGTACGGGTCAAAGTGAGAGCGATGCTAGGAGGTCACCAAGCGGGACCCTCACAATATGCATGTATGGTTTAGGTCCACTCTGGACTTATGACAGCTTGGCTTGGGAGGGTAGAACCCAAACCCGAACCCAAGTTTAGCAACGATTCGCGCTTTAAAGCCCCCCTCCCGAAGTAAAGTCTTGCATCGCTTGTAACAGCGACGCCATCCGAACAACAGGCTTCAGTAGAGTTTCATGATTGGCGATCAAGACATGCCCACGAAGCTCGCATACGCACGTACATACTTACATGCATCCAATCCAGGTCTATCCCTTCCCTCTAGTGTGAAACGGTGGGGGTCCACGCCACCCCCCCAATAGAAACTCAGAAAGTGTTGTATAGCCGCATAAACCATCATAAGGCTAAACTAAACCTCCTATATTGGTAATGTAAGGTATTTTTGGCTTTCATCGCACGCCAAGCCTCACCCGCCTGCTGCAGTCCGCCCGAGGCTGAGCCCTCGCTTCAAGTTCAAGCGCGGATGATCAGCGGCTCAACAAACGACAAAAGAGCCGGCCCAGTGCGTCCTGAAGACGTGTTCTGCATGTTCTGCGAAAGTCAGTCCGGGAGAGACTCGATCTAGCACAGCGTAGGTACTGTATTCCGGTCCTTGCAGTCAACTGAGTCTAGGTGCCCTGGGACGGCCCTAGCGCTGGCCCCTTCTGTCGAATTCTGCGTGTCACATTCCTAATTAGCTGCCAAAGGGAAGTACTTGCTTCCTCCCGACATTGAAATGACACCACCCCCACCCCCCTAAGGGCGAAAACACATCTGCATACGTACACACACACACACACACACATATATATATATATATACAGATACATCTCTCGGATCTCTCTCTATATATATATATATATGTGTGTATATATATGTATATATATATATATGCACACATACATATATACATGCACATACGTACATAGATGCATGCTTATTTGTTTTGCTCCGACATCTACCTGGTCCAGATCGATAGATAGTGGCCCTATGGGGGGTTCTCACGGCGAGGACGAGTCTCACGTGTGGAGTCTTAGAACTGTAGAAGTAGGTCGCCGCCCGAGAACAAGGGTAGTGTCACATGTGAATGCTGTCCACAATTGCTGCCGCTCCGCATGGCTCTGAGACATTTTTGGTCGGGGACGTGGTGTGCGGGTGCCACGCTCGGCGTTTGTAATCACGGCCGCTCCCCAAGCCTGCTGTGGCCATGATCATAATCTGCTAATGTTGATGATGAGGACAAAGATGATGACGTTGACGGAACGGACATGGTCACTATCATGCTGAGGATGATGATGGTGATGATGATGTATGTGATGATGATGATGATGATGATGATGATGATGATGGTTACGGCTGTTAGCTTGACGACGATGGTGATGTCGATTCCGATACCGAGGATGACAGTTTTACAGTGTTTGCTGTCCAATGAGGCGCTCTTCAGCATTTGTGGCCTTCTGCCAGAAAGTATGGGTGACAGCCGAGACCTCGGTGTTGTCGGCATGGCGCGATAATGACCGTGATGCAGACCCCAATATGCACTCCAAATCCGGAGGCCAATCCAAGCAATGGCTGTACGACCAGGCCAGCCGCAGTTTGCTCGCATGGCATAGCTTCTCCCAGACGACCTTGGCTCGACATGGATTCCTAGAGTCAGCAGCTAGGCCCACATCCTGTCAAGTTTTTCCTTAGCATGCCCAGGTGAATTTCTGAGTCACGTGGGGTAGGCGGAACACCAGGAGTGTGCTACATGGCGAGGGTGAGGTTCCGAGAGAGGTTCCGAGTACCTCCAGAGCACCTACTGGAATCGTAGTTTTCACAAATCCGCAGTACTGTAGTTGAGAAGCAGATCTGAGCGCCAGAGGAAGGAGAAGGTCTTCATGGATTGGGTGGACTGCCGTCAGAAGCCAGGTTACATGTCTTATGGATTAAGAGACGGGTTCCTAGCAGTTGCAGTAGATTCCCATCGCGGGACTTACAGGCATGTGGGTAGACAACGATCCCTCATGGTGCAGCTCTCTTTATGTCTCCGTAGCTGTGAACTACCCGTCGACGGAACCCTTAGGCGCTTAGGCCCCATAGTAGTTCCTTTGCGGGATTACATTATAGGATTCTACATATGAACCCCCAACAGGAACTACTGTGGGGCCTAGGAGTATTTTGGGGCCTGCAAGGATGAGTTCACACGAAACGGCTACGGACGCCCGACCACTGGTGACCTCGTTGTGGGCTGCTCTCCCTGCTCGCGCCCTGGGCCGTAAAGCTTTACAGCATCTGCGCAACTACGTCAAACAGCAACAGCGATCGCTGCATTCGATGCTGATCACGAGTAGCTTCGGGCACTAATAAATCAGTCACTGCACTGACCGTATGTCAAGGAAGTGTTGCCAATCGGCGAGATGAACTTGCCTAAACACCACACTGCATCAAGAGTGGGTATCCTTCGCGCAGCATGATCTTTTGTTTCATCTTCCATGTCGGCTGTTGAATCGCAGCGTGTCAAGAGCTGGCAGCACCAGATGTCGGCGTGCCGTAGTTCAACAGCCGAGTCGGACGATGGTACCGTTTGTGCTTCGAGACGAATCAAGAGCGAGTTCAGGAAGACCGCACAGTGCCGATCTGTTTTTTTCGCAATCAGAAGACAGACAGAAAGAAGCAATAACGGGCGTGGTGCCACACTGAAGAGGATTTCTCAGCGCCACGGGAATCCAGACTGGAATCCAGAAGCCGAGAAGGCAATTCTGCGATGCCGTCGAAAGCGTATTAGTACACTCCTTGAAAGCCGAACAACGGACTTGGAACCCACAGCCCGTCGCATGCTTTTGTTCTGGCAGTGCATTACGTGATGATGATGGTGACGACGATGATGATGATGACGGTTTGCTCATTTTGAACCTGGGTTTTGAGGTGAATTGCTGAGATCATCTTAGGAAGACAGCCCTTTACTTCGTCCATGTGGTCAGGCAGACAGACAGCGTGGTCACGCCCAAAGCCGCCCTGTATCACCAGACTCCTGGAAGTACGATAGGGCCTCAATAAATGGCCTCGTCACCGAAGCGAGCACTGGGGCAGGGAACCTGCCGGTGATGCCGAAAAGCGCGGCCATAAACCTGACCGCCGAATTCCAAGGTGACTAACCATTGATATTCGGGGAGCTAAGGAGCCAGGGATGATGAGAATAGCTATTAAGTAAGGAGGTAAAGAGCCAAGGGAGCCCCCAAAACCACTGGTTAGGTGAAGCTAGGGCTGTTGTCTTGGACGAAGGAAATTTGGCATGGTCATGTCTGCCACGCTAGTGAACCCAAAGGCAGTGTCACACGAAGCCGGACTTGAATGTCTCTGGTCCCCGTGTATTTCGTGGATGCAAGAATGTGCTCTATGTCTCTCCTCTCCTCTCCTCTCCTCTCCTCTCCTCTCCTCTCCTCTCCTTCCCTCTCTCTCTCTCTCTCTCTCTCTCTCTCTCTCTCTCTCTCTCTATGTACGAGATCGTGGCAGGACAGGATCCTAGTCAAAGCAGCTTGTTTGGCTACTCGCACTGTTGCTTCTGAGGGAGCGACGATTCCATTGATGACACGACTCCAATGTGGCGGCCTTGCAGTGACACCGACACGGCCGGGATAGGGCAATGGGGCTGGCTCGCATCCTGTGCCTTGTTCCCGGTGTCCGGATGGTACTAAGCGACGTGTCTACTTCAAGAATATCGAGTATGGTTTGTGTAAGTATCCCCGATGGGGGTTGTAGCGTGTTGTAGCCCTGCACGTCTGTCGTTCTTGCACCTACCCATAGGCCCTACAGTAGTTCCTTTTTGGAATTACATTATAGGGTTCTACACATGAACACCAAAAAGGAACTACTATGGGGCCTAAGGGTAGACTGTGGGGCATGAGCCGGAGGAGTTCGAAGCCCAAATCCAAACTGCGCTCCCATCATGCTGGTCTCGCGGCAGATGTGCTTGCGACGGCATGTCGGATCTGGTCTGCAGGTATAGAGAAGCCCAGATTACATGAATCCTGATGGCCGCACAGACAACCAGAAGGGCAATTTCATGCTATACGCTGGAATAGGACAGCAGCTAGGCCAGCTTGCCTCAGCAAGTCGCAAGGGTTGGAGTGCAAACATCTTCCCCCACAGTATTGGGGGCCTCTTCAGCAGAAGAGACACTTAAGACTTACGGTCTTCAGCTGGCACTCTGCAGCTGAAGAGGCAGAAACAAAAAACCCAGGGATGAAGGGCCTGGGTCGCTCATGGCCTGCGCCTTCCCCCGGGCGCAGAGGCTTTGGTCCAGGCCAGGGCGGGGATATGGGCTTCAGGGTTTTAGGATGTTTGCTTGTTGCGGGGTTTCAGGAGTTGAGGATATCACTTCTAGGATTTTCGCACTTCGGGTTGAAATCAGCTTCAGCATGGAACAGCACTATGATGCTTTTGTCGGCAGTCTTCTTATAATAATCACGGCAGTCGCTGCAGTGATCGGCACGCTCAGGAAACAATGTCTGAACAAGCCCACATGCAACAACGGCAACAACACAAGTATGTGTCACTCGGAATCGGCACGTCGAGTG